TTGTTTTCCTGATGTTGAACTTCAGGCTATATTGAGGACTACAGTCCTTGACTTTCTGCAGCAAATGCCTGATGTTCTCTTCAATTTCAGCAAGAAAAGTTGTGTCATCTGCATAACGTAGGCTGTTGATGTGTCTTTCTCCAATTCTGATGTCAACATTCTTCCTCATAAAATCCAGCCTCCCGAATAATATGTTCTACATATAGATGGAAAAGGTATGGAGGTAGGATGCATCCCTGACACACACACCTCTCCTGATCCTGAACTATGCAGTTTTTCTTTGCTCTGTCTGACTACTGCTTCCTGCTCCAAGTATAGGTTTTGCATGAGCACAATTAAGTGTTCTGGTATACCCATTTTTCTCAAGGTTAGCTACAATTTGATGTGATCCACACAGTCAAATGTCTTTGTAGGGTCAAATGTAAAATGGTAAACCACTATGGAAAACAGTCTGGCATTTCCTTAAAAAGTTGAAAATAGAAATCTCATTTGATCCACCTATTCCACTACTGGGAATACACCCTAAAGAAATCAGAGCTGTGACACAAACAGATTACTTATGTTACTGCAGCGTTGTTCACAATAGCAAGAAGATGGCAGCAGCCCTGGTAACCCTTAAGCAAATGAATGGATAGAGAAACTGTAGCACATTCACACAACTGAGTATTATGCAGGATTGAAAAACAATGAGGAACTCAAGAAACACATAACATGGACAAGTCAAAATGGATAATATGTTGAGTGAAATAAATCAGTCACAAAAGGATAAACACCATAAAAGAACACAGTTGGGAAAAATAGGATAGTTATGGTGTGGAGGCAGGAAGAGCAGGAATAGAATATATAGACAATGAACCTGTAAGGGAAATGGTGAAAGGAAGATCAACTTGAAAAGAACTGATGATCAGACAATATATGTGTTACATTTAACAATCTGATACAGGACATGCGTAACTGATTGAATCAAGGAGGGAGAAGAAGAAATAAACTAAAAGGTTTACATTCAGAGAAACAATTGTGGAGGACTGATAGGGATAGGAGGGGAAGGAGAGGAAACAGGTCAGCAAATGGATAGACAAGGTGAAGGGAAAAGGAGATTTTGATAAGACCTTGTAAATAGAGGCATTATACAATCATAATTAATGTTATAAAATGAAATGTGTATTGAATGATTCAATGGAAACCAACTTAAAAAGAAAAACAATCTAAAAATAAAAATAAAAACAGCAAAGATTGTGAGCATGGTGCAAGATTAGGCATTGTTTTGTTCTGTTGCACAGAGAATTGCTATGAATCAAAATTAATTTAATGGAACGTGACAAAAATAACAAGGTAGCATAAATGGTTGACTCTAGACCTCTAACTAGAAGACTGCAGGTTCTAATTCATTCCAGCGCTTTCACAGAAGAAAGCCCTGACTGTCTCATTCAAGACTATACAAGAAAACTTCATGAAGTAGTTACATTCTGCAACACAATACAAGGTCACTATGAGTTAAAACTGACCTGACAGCAATCGATCTCAACAAAAATATAAGCCAAATGTAAATGTGTTCTCAATGAAACTTTTGAGGTGATGGATATATTCATTATCTCAATTGTGGGGACAGTTCCAGCACGTATACTTATATCACCTATAATTATATATTTTATGCATGCATAGTTTACTATACTTCAATCATACAATGATGCTGAATAAAAAAGAAATTTTTTCTGAAAGGATGAATAATGACCTACATAAATATAGAAAGACACTGATCCTCTCTATTATAGGGAAGGGATAAAGAGACGATCAGTAAAGAACATGCTGTTGCTGTTGTTATGTACCATCATACTGGAATCGACTCACAGCTGACCCTCTGGAAAGTTTTCAGAGGCAGTAAATCACACTGCACAACTTTCTCCTAAGGAGCAGCTAGGAGATTCAAGCTGCCTGCCTTTTGGTTGGCAGCTCCTGAACTAGTTTTCATCTGCTGTGAACCCTTATGATACAGAGCTCTAAGTCTTTGGAATTTCAAATATAAATTATGAAATAGTTTATTTCCAAAAGAATATTATTCTTTTTTTTTTTTACAATTCATTGTTTGTTTGGGGGGTGTGTGTGTTTGCGTGTGTACCATCAAGTCAGATCCGACTGTCAAAGGAGGAGATTGCCCCCTCCTTCCCCAGCAGAGCATCTGGAGGATTTGAACCATGTATCTTCAGGATTGCAGCACAGCTTCTTGTCACTAGGCCTCCAGAGCTCCCTTAAGAATACTATTCTTGCATTATTAAAACTTCGAAGTGCATATACTCTTAAAAAGTATTAGATTTTATATAACCCCAATCAAACCTGCTGCTGCTTAGTAGGTTCTGATACACTGTGACCCTCCAGTGGGTTTCTGAAGCTTTAAATCTCTATGGGAGAACACTCTGTATCTTCCTTCAACAGAGTGGTTGGTGAATTCAAACTGCTATCCCTTTGCTTAGTGGCCTGATACACTATATACCATATTATCAAGGCTCTTGTTGTTCGGTGCTGTCGAGTCAGTACGACCCATAACGACTCTACAAACAACAGATCTGAACCCTGTCCTATATCCTGTGCCATCCTCACTCTTCCTAACCTAAGAGCTCATTGTGACAGTCACTGCGTCAATTCACTTGGTCGAGGATCTTCCTCTCCTTCGCTGGCCCTCTACATTTCGGAGCATCAGGTCCCAATCCAAGGAACAGCTGCTCTTAGCAACATGTCTGAAATATGTGAGGCATCTTTACCTCCAAAGATCACTTTGGCTGCATTTTCTTCAAGACATATTTGTTTGTTCTTTTGGCTGTCCATGAGATGCTCAGACCTCTTCTCAAATATCACAAAAGGCACCAATTGTTCTGTCATCTATTCATTGTCCAGTTCTCAGATGCATAGCAAATGATTAGAAAGACCATGGCCTGAATCAGATGCACCTTAGTTCTCAAACTGACATCATTACTCCTCAATAATTTGGAGAGGTCCCTAGCTGCACACTTTTCCAGTGTAATATGGCTCCTGATTTCCTGACTGTTGGTACCAAGGGTGTAAATTGTGGATCCAAGGAAGATGAAGTTGTTGACAGATTCAATCTTTTCTTCATCTATCATGATGTTGCATATTGCCCTACTGGTAAGAATCTTTGTTTTCTTGACATTGAGATGCAACCCATATTGTAGGCTTGATTCTTTGATTTCGTGCAACAAGTGCTAAGTGTCTTCTGAAACAAGTGCTATAGTTGTGTGCTCTCTTTAAAGAACTGTAGTGTTACTAAAGTGTGTCTATAAGAGCCCTACTTCAAGTTTTTAAAAGTGCACACAATTATAGCTGGATACATATAGTGCTAAAACAAATGGTACCAAACCCATGGCCATCAAGTCAATTTCCACTCATAGCAATTCTCCATTAGGATTTCAAAGAGAAGTAAGTAGACTGCTTCATCTTTCTCTATTAGAATGCTGGTGGGCTCCAACTCTCAACCTTTCCATTAGTTGTTCAATATTTAACTCACTGAGCAACCAGGGCTCTCTGGGGAAAAAATTAAAAACTCAAACTTTGACAATCTCTTCTTTCCATAATTAAGCATGGCATTTTAGAATTCTCAAAGCTCATTGTTGTCAAGTCAGAACTGACTCATGGCTGACCCTCCAGTGGTTTTTGGAAGCTTACATCACATGGGCAGAGTCTGCCTGTATTTCTCCCCCTGAGATTCAAACTGCCAGAGAGATAACTATACTGCCTTTGGGTGAGCAGTACAATTTCCTACAGATTATGTGATCAGAACTCCTTATTTCATAATTGTTATGTGCTGTCCTATCAAGTTGGAACTGACTCATAACTGACCTTTCAATGGGTTTTCAGAGGCACTAAATCATATGGGAAGAGATAGCCTAACTTTCTCCTATGGAACAGATGGTGGATTTGAACAGCGTGCCCTTGTGACTGCAATGCAGCATCTTACCACTAGGCCATCAGAGCTCCCTATTGGTAAATCAATTTGGACTAAGATATCTGGCTCTATAAAGATTAAAGTAATGTATTTTCCCAAAAATAATTTCATATCAATACAATATGCCTATTTTCCATTGAATAAAAACTGCACAGATGACAATCCATGCTGAATATCCTTCTGAAATATATTGTTCTATATTTTTCTATCACTGTTGTAAGAACAGAACATTTTCTGACTATACAAAAATTTCAGTATTTAATGAATCTTTGTAAGCACAAAAGAACTACCTAGGCAAAAATTAAGGAAAACCAAACAAAAGAACATGAAAAAGCCAATACTTATAAACAATGGTAAACTTAAGAAATATGACCTTTGTGAAGAAATCCTAAAGTTCAATTATTTAAAGTGTGGCAAAATAGGCAGATCTGGGGTTATAGTGACAGCCTAAATTTAGGTTAAGTAGCTAACTGATACAAACAGCTTATGGAGCTCTGGTGGCTTAATGGTAATTGTGCTGCCAATGCAAAGGTATGCAATTTGAATCCACCAGCTGTTCTACAGGAGGATGGGCAATCTTTTCCCTTGTGATTTACTGAAAATCAGGTTCTGAAAACCTGCCAGAGGATGAGCTATGGGTTGGTTCCAATGTGATGATACACAACAACATCAACAGCTTATATGAGAAACAAAATTCACTGCAGATACTTTATCAGAATATATAAAGATTTTGTGTGTAAGGAGCTGTGTTGCTATTCTAAAGGTTGAGCCTCTTCGGAGGTTCGAGTTCACCAGTTTCTCCCCAGGAGAAAGATGGGCCGTCTCATCCCTTGATTTACCACCTCAGGAAACCCCCTGGAGCAACTGCTCTGAGATGCTTATGACTGGAGGCAATGAGAGTTGAGTTGTTATAAAGATCTACAAATAGACACAATTACATTTTGTAACAGACATAATTTTCCTTGTATTAGCAGTTTGTTTGCCAGAACCAAAGAACAGAACTTGAAAGGAACAGAATTAAAGCTAATTAAAAATCAGTTATTACCTAGTAACGTGTGTCCCAGTTACATTTTCCAGCATGTCACAGAGTGTGAGAAATATCCCTCTCACGCTTTTAAGTTTCTGAGATGCTTCAGACCTTGGGTAATGGTAAAGGATTTCCTGCTGTTAAATGAAAAGAAACAGAACTTTCAACCTTATTTCTGTTATGTAATGGTCACATTTTAAGAAAAGAAGAAAAAGTGAATAATTTCACCATAGGGAGTTTTATTAAAACACAGGATTTGCCTAAAATTTTAATCTATTAACTTTTATTTAAGACGCTGCATTTGAAAACAAGTTAGAGAATGTCAAAATTGCTTATGATACCAAACTATATACTGAGTGGAATATTGATATGCTGGAGTAAGGAGAATGAATTTCAAACAATGGTTTAAACCTTAATGTAAAAATTTCTAATACTAATAATTTCCTATATTCCATTACATAAGTATTTTTACCTTTTACGGTTATGAATCTACATAGATATCACATAAAGGTAATTATTTAAGAAAACCTCATTGCCTTCAAGTAAGAACCAACCCATAGTTGTCCCTCCAAAGGGTTTTCAGAAATCTCTAAATCTAAATCTCACTATAGAGGAAGTTGCCCATATTTCTCCCATAGAAAATTATATGTAGCTTAAAAAGTAAACAGCAAAACAATAAAATACAGAATTGGTCATCCCTTTCTGTATATGTTCTAGTACAATGTTCATTCTGATTTTGAGATGGGTTATTTTATTTTGTGAAAACTTCTTCCCAGGAGCTATTCTTGAAACAGAAAAATACTAAGCACTTGTGAATAGTCTTATATAGTTCTGTGATAGCAAAGGCTTATAATTAAAAATGTTTTTCCTAGCCAATGATTAACTGTTTATTTTGTGCTGAAGTATTTTTACTGTATTAAGGAGAGAGGATTAGGGTGAGGTATCAGCCCCACCCTACTATATGTGGTTATATAAGCTCATGGTACCTCAGTGCTAACACTCTTTCTGGGACACCTGTTTTTCCAACTACACTGTAAATGACAGTCTGCAACGCTCACCAGTCTCTACAAAACTGGTCTGCACTTTTACAATTATATAAGTCATTTCCCTGAAGGATCCAAGTCTCTGGGAGATTTTCCAGGGAACCACCAAACTCAAGTGATATAGAGGAGTGAGGGAACTGAGCTAAGGAGGAGCTGTTATGTTGGAAACCATGGACTTAAACAGTAAATCAAGCATTTGGGGGACAATGCTGACTTGGCACTTGTGGTGCTAAGGGTTTACTGTCCAAAATGGTTTTCTTACTCATTAACTTTGCCATGTGATGGGCAGGAATATGTGAATAGGGTGTGTTAGCCTATCCACAGGGTATTGGTTAGGTTCACCCATTCACAAGGGGATTGGCTAGTCTTGTATTAAATTGAGTGGATCTGGCAGTAAAATTGAAGTCTCACCATGTACATGCAGGCATGTAGTGTGTGCCCTTGGGTACCAAATTTGGCATGGGAAGGAGAACCAGAGATCTGCTGTGAGATACAGTGGACCTTGGGACTGCTACACCATTCTAAGAGCCTTTTGCTCAAGTGTGTTAGAGGACTTGGGTGGCGGAAAAGCCATAATTAGCAGGACTAAGAACTGTAACATTAGCCTAAAGCCACAAGGCTCAAGTCTGAGACACCTGTGAGCATATTTTGGAAGCTGTCTTGACTGTATTCTGCTACTAACCTGGATTCTAACCTTTTGACTTTGCCAGTATAGTTCTGTTTGGTCTGTGAACTACTGCATCAAATTCTGGACCCAGTAAAGCAATAAGATTGGTGCTGGAATGAGTAGAAAGAGGTGAGGGAGTGTGGAGGACATGTCTGACCTCCTAAGAATTATTCTATGTTGCTGATGTTGTTGAAAAGGACAGTTCTCCTTTGGGAAGCTGGTAAAGGTCAGAAATAAGTTAATAAATGGCCATCCCCATGTGGTTTTTGTTGGTTTATTGTTTGTTTTTACAATAGTATTTGTTTTTATTATAAAAACAA